CCTAGGAAACCAAAGGCCCTCTGAGGGAAAGTTATTAATATCCTGTCAGTGGTAAATTAACTGTACTTGTACATGTTTTTGCCCCCTTTCTTTGTTTGGTCTAGCAGTGGTCCTTCCAACACCGCTGCGTACTGACTGTGTTCTCAGTATAGTGTAGCCTGAAACAGCATGGTGATAAAACTGCTGACAAGGATGAAGACGTTTTGGAGCATATACAGTATATATATATATATATTTATATACTTCATGTGCACATCTGCTTAGCTTATGGAAGAATGACCTATACAGTAGGTGGATGTGTTTGTGTATCTGTATGTGAGAGAAATAAACGAAGGAAGCGATTAAACCGAGTAAAACTCTAAACTATATGGTTGACTTGAGGAATGGTTAAAGGATGTAAATGTGGGGAAAAAAAACACAAACATTGAGTAACAGAAACTTTTACTGTCTAGCTCATTTCTAGCAGGGTCGACAAAAGTCAACTAACTATCTATGGACACGGCACGAAGCAATGCCACACACAGCGAAAGGATTCTCTCTACAGTCACGGTGAGGTCTGTGCGATGACAGGGGTGTAGTGACTGTAGCACAAAGTAATTAGAGACAGTCTCCACTAGGTCACAGTTTAGTCTATAGTGGCCTTAAAAGAGACAGAGTGGGAGTGAGTGCACAAAGACAAAGGTGAGAAGAAGGAGGAGTATGGCGAGCAGAAAGAAGATGTAATAACCCCGAAGCAAACTTACGCTCTGTTGTGGAAAAAGAATTTATGTTTTAATAAAGCTCCAATTTATGTCAGTGTATTTAACAATAATGGTAGATACAGTTGTTTCAAATGTGAAAACTATGACGAGCCTACAAGGATACTGTTGCATTAGTTCATCGTGGTTTTTAGAGCCACCAGTTCACTCATGTGAACCTAATTTCCAAGAGCGACTAATGGCTAACCCCCAAAAACTGTACACACTTCCTGTTCGCTATCAAAAACTAACAGGGGAGAGACTTTTCATTCAGAGATGTTAAAATAAGTAAAATAGTGTGACTATTGTGCTTCTATCTGTCAGGTGACAGACATCTCAAAATGAAAGTTATATAGGTACTGATACATCGAATGTTTTTTGTCTGGTTCTGCTGCTGAACGTTCA